ATATCAAAACTAGTAACAATTAGTAAAATTAATAATCCAGTAATAATAGTCAATTCGTTTTAGATGAAAGAATAAAAATTGGAGAAAAAACAATAAAAACAAGAGAGAGAACGAGAAAAGAACTGGAAAAAAAGTAGAAAATAAAGCAATTGGAGAAACAGTAAGGACCAGAATTGCTAAAACTGTCAAAGCAGCATATAAAACACAAAAAATCAGGAAGATCGAACAGAAAAAGAAATGAGGAAGAGCAAATCCAGTAAAACAATGTAGTAACTGCAAGCAACATGCGGCAAAAAAAACTGTAAAGCCACTGACAGGAAAGGAAACAACGTGAGGAAAAATAGCGATGCAAACAATTATATAGATATATTCATATATATTTCCAGAATCCAATAAGGGAAAAAGAAGATTAATATAGGTATAATAAATAAACTTTCAATGAAAGTATAATTGAAACAAATCAAAAGGATCAAAATACACACAAAGCAAAAAAGAGATAATGTTGAATAATATTATTAAATATGTAGATAATGTTGTACAATGAACAATAATCCACGCCTCTCCTTTAGTATATAGTAATAATTTAGAGTAAACAAAGTAATAAGTAGTTACAGGATGATGATAATATTATTAAATATGTAGATAAAATATTCAAACATAAAAAATTAGGTTTAGGTATTTTTCTTTTATTGTTAACAACATATATCACAGATAACTAAAATATGACTAAACAATGTTTTTAGCTCCCAACTAAATTATTAAAGGATTTATACAAACTACCAAAGGACGAAAACCGTGATGAAATGGCGAAAACAGAAAAAGGAGAGAAAAGAAAACAGATAGATAAAGTGAGACATAACTAAAAAAAACAAACTAAAGAATATAACAGGAAAATTAGATCAATTTTTAGATCTAGAAAGAGTAAGAAATAGAGAAGAAATCAGAGAGGAAAAAGAAGAATAGAAGGAAGACAATATGAGAGAAGAAGAAAACTTGGAAACGTTAGGCCCCTGAATATCACAATACGAAATTGAGAGGCAAAAAGGCTGGGCCCCCACAGGAAAAATGTGGAAAAAACTTGGATAAGAACAACATAATAGCATAAATCCCAGAAAATCCAGACAACATCAAAAACCGCCAAATCAGTAGTAAAAGTTGCCCATGGCCAATACATGACATTAGTTAAAGAAAAACACATCATCATCACCAAAGAGCAATAAAATTCTAAGAAAAAGATAAACTTTTCTCAGGACAGGAGATATGTATAGAAAATGAGGTTTAACATGACTCAACAATGTCATTGGCTGCCAAGTAAACTATCGAACGCTTTATACAAAATACCAGAGACCAAAGACTGTAATGAAATGGCGAAAACATATAAAAGTCAAAAAAGAAACCAGATAAGTAAAGTGAGGCACATGCAAAGAAATTAGCCAAGGAATAAAACAGGAAAACTGTATCAGTTCTTAATTTAGAAAGAATAAGAAATCAGAGAGGAAAAAGAAGAGCAGAAGGATGAGAAAATGAGAGAGGAAGAAAACTTTGATATGTTAAGCCCCTGACTATCACTGTGAGAGATTGAAAAACAAAAACATAGATCACCATAAAAAGAACACGAAGAAAAAGTTGGAGAAGAACATAATAGCATAAATTCTAAATAATTCGGACAACATCAAAAGGTGCTAAATCATGACTAACAGTTGCCTAATACATGACAAGAACTAAAGAAAAATACATCATCATCATCAGAGAATAATAAAAGCCTAAGAAAAAATAAACTGTTCACCAGAGCAGTAGATATACATATAAAATAAGGTTCATGTATTTTTCTTCCATCGCTAACAAAATATATCATAAGTAACTAAAAAATAACTCAGCAATGTCCTTGGTTGCCAACTAAATTATTGAAGGATTTATGCAAAGTACCAAAAAACAGAAACATTAGTCAAATAAAGAAAATGCTGAAACAACAAATGTCTCGGAGAAGGGGGAAGAAAAAAATGGAGAAAAACAACACCGACAAAGGAAACAAAAGACCGAAAGAGAAAAAGCAAAAACCAGAAGCCAAAGCAACAGATGTCTCGTAGAAGAGAGAAGGAAAAAAACAAAATGGCCAGGTGAAGTCCACAACGCACGGGTAGGAGAGGAGGAAAAAACAAAAAGAAAAATCTTCAGGGGCTAGAAGGAAAAAAAATAAAATCATGAAAATGTTGGAGAAGAAAAAGACAGTAGCATAAATGGACAACATCAAAAACAGCTAAATCATTATTAAGAGTTACCTGATTCACGGTAACAATAAAAGAAAAACACATTATCATCATCAAGGAACTACAAAACTCTAAGAAAAAACAAATAGGTCACTAAACTGGAGAACAAATAATATAAAGATTAGTATGTTATTATATCAGAAACTTAAAATCAAATTAAAATAAAGGCTTCTATTAATGAAACGAAGTATGGTATTCATATAAGAAAAAATATCATATAAATAGCGATAAACAATTTGAAACTAATCATAACGATATAAAACGAAAAACAACCAAACATAAAAACATGTACAAATTAAGAAATAAATATCTCAATTGAAAAAGAACAGTGGACAGAGTAGACAGAGCAGAAAAACTAAAACGCCAAAACAGAGAGAAGCAAATGGTATAACTGAATATTCAAAATAGTAAAGATACAAATAGAAGTCTAATATCAGTAAAATCTGTAAAGACCAGAAAACAGAGATGAGAGAACAACGAAAATTATTATAGTCGGAGAACGAAAAGAGAAAGAGGATGAGAGTTTTAAAAAATACAATAAAACACATTATTTATACACAGAGAAAACAAATTTCTGCTCATTATCAGATAATAACGACTCAAAACAAACCTGAACCGGTATAATGATTCGGTAACAATTGGTGTCACGCAGCATGAAAACTACGGGAAAACAAAACCAATAATCAACATACAGTAAAAAATAAGATACATATTATAGAGAATCACATCAGAAGAAAAACACGTGTCGAAAGAAAAAATAAACACGATAGTATAGTAAAAACCATATCAGAAGAAATTGCCCAGAAGATAAAAGAAGAACATTCTACGAACGATACCAAAAAATCCCCACAAATTGAATAAAAAAAAAGGTAACCCACGAAAGGAAAAAATGCAAATGCATAAATATAATTTTTTCTTCACATCTCCAACATAAAATTCCTAAATGCAGAAATAAGGAAAAAAAGAATATGAGCAAAAATTATGTACCTTATGATCATAAAAACCTTAAAGAAAAAAAAAGGCTGATGCACTTACACAACCAAAACCCAAACAAACCGCAGAAATCCCTGTAAAATAAAAAAATAATAATATAATGAGACCCTAAATCACAACTGTAATGAGAAGAAAAAGAGCAAAACCCCTGTTAAAAAAAATATTGTAGGACGAACCCTAAAATACAATTGCAAGAAGAAGAAAAACATAGAAACAGAGAAAAAAATTCAAGCATGGAGAAAGACAAAACCGAGAAAAGAAGCATAAGACCCAGAGGAAAAGAAAAGAGCAGAAACCACCGCAAGAAGAGATAAGAAAAAAGAGAAAAAGCAAAATCTAGAAGTCAGTATCGGAGAGAGAGAATGAAAAAAATGGGAAAACAATTTTCAAGCATGGAGAAAGAAAAAACTGAGAAAAGAAGCATAAGACCCATAGGAAAAGAAAAAGAGCAGAAGCCACAGCGAAAAGAGAAAAAGCAAAACTCAAAAGCCAAAGCAACAGATGTCTCGGAGAAGAGAGAAGGAAAAAAATAGGGTTCGTTTGGTTAGAGGATTCAAATCATGTGATTCAAATTATTTTTAATTTATATGTATTTTTTATGAGAAAAAATATTGTAACGAATCACGAATCATGAAACGAATCCCTCTATCAAACGCCCCTTAAGTGACCACGTGGAATCCACAACGCACGGGGAGAAGAGAAGAAAAAGCACAAAACAACGGAAGAAAAGAAAAGAAAAGGAAAAAATTTTAAAATTGGACCCACACCGATGAAAGGACACACCAAGTATTAAAATAAGTGAGACTAATGCTATGTTTGGTAGGAAAGAAAGAAAATAAGATAGAAAGAAAATATATAAGTGATGGAAAATAGTAATGATGGAAAGGAAATTAATTTTTTTTTATGTTGTTTGGTATGAGAAAATGGAAAAAAAAAATGAGCTTACCTTCACTTGTTTGGTATTAGAAGTTAAATTGAGAGGAAAGAAAAAATCTTACTCGTAAATTACTTTTATACCCTTAAATTTTTTACTTGGATGTTGATAGAGAAAATAGTAGTTTAGTAACTTTGCTCACTTTAATGAGTTATCCCCATTTTTCATCTCATATTCTGCCTACTTGTGAAAAGAAAAAAAATAGTGAGGCCCACATGTATTATTTTCCACTCAATTTTCTCTTCTTTTCTCTTTTTTTTTCCTACCAAATAACCTACATTTTCATTTTTCCTCCCAAAATCCCTCCACATTCTTCCTTCCTTCCACTTTTCTTTCCTACCAAACATACTCTAAAGTAATCCAAGGACAAAAGGATCTAAAAACCCTTCACCATAAACGGAAGAGAGGAAAGAAAAAAGGCAAAACCGTCTTCACACTATACAAACTACAGTCAACTAAGTCTATGTAAACAGTAAACCCCTCATTCTCTTTAGTATATTTATAATATAATAATATGAATATATATATTTTTTTCAAACGACATTACATATGATTTAACAGCTAACCCTTAAAAAAAATAAAAAGAAATTTAGCAATGTCTCCAAAATACTCTTGCCACGCCCAGACCATGCTATTCTCCGAAGAGAAACGACATAAATATAGTGGACTGGCTGCTAAACAACCGAGTCCTGGTAAACAAAAACGACCCATATCACAAACTTAAGGCTTTTTTTTTTGTTGTCGTTCAATGTACTCTTATAATCCATATGAGATTCGAGTAGAGCCTATGATCATGCAATATTGAAATGAGAACTAAAAGACTATTATCCACATCTCATTTCCATTCAATCCCACACATGATTCGAAACTCCCTCCAAAACCGCATCACCCAATCAAACCCACCTTTCTTACCAAAAGCACCCTCCGTCTTAGCCACGAATTTAATCAAGTCCTACTTAGAAAAGGGCCTTGTCAAAGAAGCACGTTCAGTGTTCGACGAAATGCCTCACAAAGACGTCGTTGCGTGGACCGCAATGGTCGAAGGCTACACATCTTGCAATGATCACGGCCACGCCTGGCTGCTGTTTTGCGCCATGGTGAGGAGTGAAGTTGGGCCCAATGCTTTTACTTTCTCAAGTGTTCTCAAAGCCTGCAGGGGCATGAAGGCTCTTTTGTGCGGGGCGTCGGTTCACGGGTCGGTTGTTAAGCGTGGTGTGACTGTGGAGGGCAGTGTTTACGTGGAAAATGCGCTCATGGACATGTATGCTACTTGCTGCGCTAGCATGGACGATGCCTGCAGGGTCTTTCGAGATATGTTCGTTAAGAATGCTGTGTCCTGGACTACTTTGATCACCGGTTTTACTCATCGAGGGGATGGTTATATGGGGCTTCGAGTTTTCCAACAAATGATGCGGGCAAGTGGATGAAACCATCTTGAACTCTCTTATAATGTTTTGACTGTTTTATTTATACACAAGGATATTGTTATATTTTTAATGTGTACATAGTTTCTTCAATGTAAATAAATTTCTTGAATGTGTTGACTAGCAGGAGGATGCAGAACTGAACCCGTTTAGCTTTTCGATTGCAGTTAGAGCTTGCGCTTCAATCAGCTCGCGTACTTTCGGGAGGCAAATACATGCAGCTGTGATCAAATGCGGTTTTGAGTCCAATCTTGTGGTGATGAATGCGGTGCTGGACATGTATTGCAGGTATGCTTGTTTGTCAGAGGCTAATCAATGCTTCCTTGAAATGACTGAAAAGAATTTGATTACTTGGAATACCTTGATTGCTGGATATCAAAGAATGGATTCAAGTGAATGTTTACACCTGTTTTCGCAAATGGAGTCACAAGGCTTCAGACCAAATTGCTTCACATTTAGTAATGTAACAGCTGGCTGTGCTAACTTAGCACTTCTTGCCTGCGGACAGCAGGTTCATGGTGGGATTTTTCGGAGGGGTTTCAATCAGAATCTGGAAGTGGCCAATGCCCTTATTGACATGTATGCAAAATGCGGAAACATAGCCGACTCGCACAAAGTTTTCAATGAAATGTCTGATAAGAATTTGGTCTCATGGACTTCCATGATGATCGGATATGGAGCCCATGGATTTGGAAAAGAAGCCGTTGAGTTGTTTGATGAGATGGTAAGATTGGGCATTAGGCCCGATCAAATTGTGTTCATGGCAGTTTTGAGTGCCTGTAGTCATGCTGGCCTTGTTGATGAAGGCTTGAAGTATTTCCAATCTATGATGAGTACCTATAATGTTAGTCCTGACCAAGAAATTTATGGATGTGTAGTAGATTTGCTTGGTCGTGCTGGGCGAGTAGAGGAGGCTTGTGAATTGATAGAAAATATGCCATTTAGGCCTACTGAGTCTGTTTGGGGTGCACTTCTTGGAGCTTGTAAAGCACACAAACTTCCGCATTTAGGCAAATTGGCTGCTCTGAAGGTATTGGATTTGAGGCCGAATACTGTGGAGGCTTACGTGATGCTGTCTAATATTTACGCGGCTGAAGGTAAATGGGGGGAATTTGCGAAAATGAGGAAGTTGATTAAAGGTATGGGGAACAAGAAAGAGGTTGGGAGGAGTTGGATCGAGGTAAGAAATCAGGTTTATAGTTTTGTTGTTGGAGATAAGAAAGGTTCCCATACAAAGTGGGTGTATGCGGTCTCGGAATTGCTTATTTTGCATATGAAAGAAGTAAAGTATGTACACAATTTAGATTGCTTGATATATGACTTAGAAGCTGGAACTTGAATGATGTGGAAGAGATGAAAAACTGTCTTATAAGAAATGCGGGAGTTTTGAAACACACTTGTTCTAGCCTACATTTTGCGAAATGCAACACTGTGAAGATGGACAGCTAGGAAGAAAAGAGTCTTGTTGAACTCTTTTCTTTTTTTTTTTTTGCTGATAAATTCAATTTTTGTTTTATTTAAAGCTTACTTGGGAGAGAGAAAAAAAAGTGGGGGGTCGGTGGGGTTGGGGGAGGAAAGCTGAGGTGAAAGAAGTCATCTTTCTTGACAAGGGGCTTGTTGTTGTTACATATGAAGCCAATAGAAAGAACAAGCAAGAAGAAATTGAAGGCTAGAAAAATTCAGAACATTACCAGAGTTTTATTCGTATATTTTCAAAGTTCACTCTGAATGTATAATATCCGTAAAATCTGACAATTTTTTGGCCAAGTGATAATAAAAAGTACTTGGCTTTCAACAGGTCCTTCCATATGAAATCATGATTGCTGAGTTCTTACTTCCATTGGTCTATTAGTATGGTAACTGAAGTTGTTCTAAGAAAGGTACTGTACCTTATTGAGAAAACATCTAATTGAATCTTTGAGAAGTACAAACGTAACTGTTTCAATTAGTCTTCAAAGCCTCTTTTACAATTCAATCTTTTGACAGAAAGAGACAACTAATCACATTGCGTACGCTAATCTGCTACCAGAAATCTAGGCAAGACCAAGGCCACTGGTTTAAGTGATCAAAGTGATGCTGATCCGTCGCCACAATCTTTCGATGATATCTTTTGATATGAAATTTGCTATGTTATGACATTTTTTCTCAGATTCTTCATTATGCTTATTGGAGTTGGAGGACTTGTGCTGAAAGCCCAAAGACCATGCGAGCTTTAAACTACGTCTAAGAAGAGCATTTTCCTTCTCTTCTTTGTCAATGGCAAGGAAAATCTCATTTGTGACCGGTGCATAACCTTCCATCTTCAATCTGACCGCTAATTGGTTCAACGTCTCCCTGATCTTGATTATCAGAGGGTGTCTTGTCTCCTGCAAGAAACTCATGGACTTCTCCATCTGCACCATTGTTCCCTTAATTTCAAGAACATCGTCCCAATTACTTCATGAAGCACAAGTGCTTGGACAATAACACATGGAAACCATCATGGTCAGGCTGAAGCTCAATGAACCTTCTTCCAATCCTCTCCCTCATGCCATGGTTGGTATGCTTCTTACAAGCCCCATATGAGGCGCCTTCGGTGCCATAGGCATACTCTCGACGAGTTCATGTTCTTCTTCAGCATGTCTGCGCATCCTAAAAGATCAACCATGCATTCGCAATTCTTAACATTTGGTACTATCTCGTGTTCTCGAATCATGGAGTCGAAGTGGCGACGCCCCTCATTCCCTAATGCCCATGTGAGAAACGCTCCACGAACCGTTAGAAAAGTGATCTCATTCTTATTTGGTATTACGCCGCATGCTGTCATCTCCAAAAACTGTGGAGCGACTTCTATACAACAATGGGAACATTTCAAGTGGAAATTCCCTTCTCTGCCATTCCATAAGAAACTTCCAATGCACTTTCTAAACAACCACATTTCATGCACATGTCGACAAGGGTTGTCCTCTTCCATCAAAAAAAAAAAAAAAAAAAAAAACCAAGGGTTGTCACCGAAATGTCATTAACCTTCATATCATTTTTCCTTATATAAGCATGAATTAATTTGACTAGGTTAAGGCAGCCAACGACTTAAAAAAGAAAAAGGATAAATTTTATTGGCCCCTCAAATTGTAGTTTACTCCATAAACTTTAAAATCAGTCTACACACCCCTTAAACTTTTAACTTAGCACAAACGCCTTATGTAGCACTGAATTAAAGACCAAAAAACTTAATTTTAACTAATTATCATATTTCTCTATCTATGATGAGTGTACAAAAATTGTACTTCAATCTCGTCAATCCAATAGTCAAAACTTACTCATTTTTCACTTAGTTTAAATCTAATGATTTAAATTTAGTCCATTTGTCATATTTATCTTATCACACCTCGCACTCTCTCACAAATTACTAGCATTATTATGAAACAGATTTTATTTTGCAATCTAATTTTGATAATCACAATTAAGTCAAACTATGTATACCAACACTTAATCTCATATTCTACACACATACATGTAACACTCGTATTAAATCTAGCTAATAAATAAATCTGCTTTGCACTTTTTTTAATTCAACGTTTCCTTTTTCTTTTTTTTTTTTTATAGAAATATTGTAGTTTTAGATCTCTCTAAATATTTTTTTCCTTAATTTAAGGTAAAACAAGAGAGAATTGCACTGTTTTTTTACTTCAACTTGCTGATTGCTGCCCTGTATTTTTTTTTTTTGGGGAAAATTCTTGTGTTTTTAGTTCTTTCTCATTAAAACTTTTTTAATTTATATTTAATTTTTTTCTCAAAAAGACCCTTGCTCAAATATTTCGCTTGCTTTTAATTTTTTTAGAATTTATTATTTTCCCATTTCTAAAAATATTTAAACTTGTAAATTTTTATACCCATCTTTATGATAAGTTCGAGAGATAATTATACTAAAAATTTAAGTTAAAAAATACAGTTTAAATTGAATGACATAAATATTAATTTATTAGATGTCTTTTTTTTTTTCACCCTAAAGGAGGGATTATGCTTAAAAGAATCGCTCCAAAATTTGTTGAGCTTAAATAACAGATCAAAATGTGTTGATAATAAGTGCGGATTGCATTAATTTACATACGGTTTCATTAACATTGCACATTGATTTATTCAAGCTAAGAAGTACGGTTTAAATTGAATAACCGTCCATATCTTAATAAAAAAAAAAAAAAAAAAAACAGAGAGAGAGAGCGAGAGAGTCTAGAGAGAGAAATATCTCCATGTTTAGCGATAATAACAAATAGAAAAACAAAATTAAAAAAAAAAAAAGAAACACTCTTCTCAATGTCAGACCCTTTTTTTCCGACATGTAGAGTACAAAAATGACTGAACAAGAACGACAACTCAAAAGCCATCCGTCAACCTCGAAACTCCTCTCGAAAATGGCTACGAACGCTGAACCCAATAAACCCATCTTCCGTCCGGGCTCCGCAGTCGAGATCAGCTCCGACGAGCCCGGATTCCAAGGCTCCTTCTACCTGGGCACGGTCATAAGCCTCTGCTCCTCCGACTCCTACTTGGTCGAGTACAAAACCCTCGTCACCGAATCGTCGCGGCCGCTGAGGGAAGAGGTGGGGCTCTTTCAGGTCCGGCCGCCGCCGCCGTCGCCGTCGCCCGGGGCCAGATGGATTTTCGGAATGGGCGACGAGGTCGACGTCTACCACAACGACGGCTGGTGGGAGGCCGTCGTCACGGCGGATTTGGGGAATGGGAGATTCGAAGTTTTCTTTCGGAGTTACAAGGAGCAAATGGAGTTCTCCAAGGAGAATATGAGGCTTCACCGGGACTGGATTGGTGGGGGTTGGGTCCCACATGTGGAAGAAGAACATGAACAAGTTGAGGTTTGGACTTTTCTTATATGTTTCTTTTTATTTTTATTTTCTTTGGTCTCTGCTTGAGAATGCCACAAATGACACGAAGGCTCCGTTTATTTCATTTGAGTTTAGAATTTAAATTTTATTACATAAAAAACTCGAATAATCATATTAAATTTTTTTATTCTCTTAAAAACTCTCAAGTAATCAAATCTCAATTGAATTAAAAATTTAATTTAATTCAACGAGCTAAATGGGTTCGAAGAAGATGAAGGAGAAGGGGTTTAGACTGTTTTTCTTTTGTACTTTTCTAATTATTGGTATTTTATACGTTTATACACACATGTATGCATATATTTTCTGTTTGAGAATGCTACAAATGATAAGGACATGAAGCTTGATGCTGTTATTTATCTATACTTTATGAAGAGTCGGTTTAATTTATTGATTTGAGTTTTTAATTTGAGTTGAATGAGAGTTGTTTATGTAATAAAAAAGTTAGATGCGACTGTTTCTGAAAATTTTTTAGGTCCCGTTCATTTTACTGATTCGAGTTTAGAATTTGAGTTTTGCTACAGTAAAAAGTTCTAAGAAACAGTTGCATCTAACTTTTTTGCTACAGTAAAAAGTTATCACATAAAGTTACATCTAAACTTGAATTAAAAACTCGAATTAACGAACTAAACGGGTCCTTATTGTAGTAAAATTCGAATTGATAAAATGAATGGGGTCAAAGTTTTTCACTTTTCTTATCATGAAGGGTGTTTTTTTGTTTTCGTTTGCAAATTACTTTTTTTTTTATTTGCTAATTCCCAATTTATTCCTTATTGGAATGCTCGATTCACCCAAACTTGATTCTTGATGGCACGTTAAAAGACTGTGCTAGAAATAAATAAGGGCATGAATCTTGATTCATTTTCTTTCTTTTGTAAAAAGTGGTGTTATTTAACTTGGGCATATATCCTTACTTCCGGTAACTCTTGACTTAATAGTGTAACATATAGAAATATCTGGAGAAGAATTTAAATAATAAATCATTTCCACGCTAAATGTTTGTGATGATGAATTAGATTAGGATTATTTTAATATTTAAATTTAATTTAGGATTATGTTTATCTTTTTATTATTTTAAATTTATTTATGTTTATCTCCTTTTTAGAATAGGATTAGGATTTCATTCTCTATAAATATCTCAGTGTTTGTAATTCTTAGGAAGGCTTTTGATGATTAATGATATTGAGATTATTAGTTTATCCTTGTTGAGTACTTGTTCTTCTTAGATTTCTATCTTTCTCTTGATTATTATTCTCTATCTTAGTTATGTTTTTCCTTATTTCTGTTATCTCTCTAAATTCTATTTCTGTTCTTCTATTCTATTCGATCCTACATCAATTGGTATCAGAGCGAAGTTGATTCCTTTGACCAATACTATCCTTCTTTTTCTGTTCCACATACACCCAAAAAAAAAAAAAAAGATGGCAAAAAAATCACATTGATTTGTTGAGGGAAAAAAAAAAGAATTACCTCAGTGTTTGTAATTCTTAGGAAGGCTTTTGATGATTAATGATGTTGAGATTATTAGTTTATCCCTCTTGAGTTCTTGTTCTTCTTAGATTTCTATCTCTCGATTATTGTTCTCTATCTTGGTTCTATTTCTCCTTATTGATTCTGTTCTCTCTCTAAATTTTATCTCTGTTCTTCTATTCTACCCGGTCCTACATCAGTTTGATTGCAACACTCAAACACAATCCTAAAGAATAGGAGCTCTTACACTTCTTTCTTTTTTAGTCATCTATCTTATGCTTTGCCTAAAAGCCAAATTTCTCATGGACTGCAGAAATCACAAACTGAAATGGAAATAAATGGAAGCAAAGAAACAGTACAAGAGAAATTTGTAAAAGGGGAATTAGTTGAGGTTAGCAGTGATGAAGATGGTTTTGAAGGTGCTTGGTTTAGTGCAACTATAGTAGAACCCACAGGGACGGACAAGTTTCTTGTGGAGTACCAGAGCTTGAGGACGGAAGATGACAAAGATTTTCTGACAGAAGATATAGATATTCTGCACATAAGACCTTGTCCAGCAGAAACTCTAGTTGTTGGCTTCAGGTTGCTTGAAGAGGTTGATTGTTTGTACAACGATGGATGGTGGGTCGGTGTCGTTTCCAAGGTTCTTGGTGACTCTAGGTACATTGTCTACTTTAAGGACACCAAGGAAGAAATGGAATTTCATCACTTTCAGATGAGGCTTCATCATGAATGGATTGATGGCAAATGGGTCGTGGCTTCTGAGGTATGAATTCTCTGTATGTACTTCTAAGCAATTTTTATTGTGTGGGGATCTTGCTTTGGTGTTTCGAAAGTGTTGTTGTGACTGTAAAGGCCAAATAAACCCGAGTCCCACATTCTATGGTATAGCTAGACAAGCTCAAGCGAGCTTCCAGATCCATCTGATAAGAGATGAACAGATTTGGAAACAAAACCAAGAAAAGATCGAGAGAAGAAGAAGAAATCAAATCGAGAACTTTATTAATGACAGCACATGTACACCGATATGCGGATCTTCGAGGGTCCGCTACCTCCCCCGTACTTGGAGCGATTCCAAGATTTGCACAACAAACTGATTATTCTCACCGTGCCTTCTTTCTGTTACTCTCCCTCTTTTATAGATTCCCCTATTCATTAACTACTAGCAATCTTCCTTAGTAAGCTACTAATACTAACAAACTTTCACAGTAAGCTATAGATAGCCTCCCCAAACCAGAACCCCCTAAGCCCGTTTATTCTTCCTAATGTACACTTGCTTGAATAAGGGCTTATCAATTACACCCCCCCTCAAAAAGTTCACCTTGTCCTTAAGGTGGGAAGCAGGAAATTGGCGTTGAATAACCTCAAACAGCTCCCACGAAGACTCAAAGTCAGGAAGATGGCGCCATTTGATCAAAACCTCCAAAGAACCATTGGCGGGGGAGAAACATGTATCCAGGACCTGGTCCGGTTCAACCTGCAACGTCAAATCCTCAGACAAGATGGGAGGTAAAGATTGAGGAATATCCACAGAACCAAGAGCCTTCTTCAAATGGGAAACATGAAAACTGGGTGAATCCGAGCATGGGAAGGAAGTTGCAGCCGGTATGCCACTAGGCCAACGCGAGCAAGGATCTAAAACGACCCGTAATAGCGAGGCGCAAGCTTTTCATTCACTAAACGCGCCATCGCTCGATGTCGATACGGCTGGAGTTTCAAATAAACCATGTCTCCCACCTCAAATGTCACAGAGCGGCGTTTCTTGTTGGCATGGTCCCGCATAGACTGTTAAGCGCGGCCCAAATGGTCTTTCAATTCAGCCAAAAGCGCATCTCGATCGCATAGTTGCCGCTCCAACTCTGATGTAGCTGTAGAACCGGCCTCATAAGGCACCAACCGCGAAGGATCTCGTCCATAGAGAGCTTTGAAAGGCGTCATGGCAGCCGAAACATGAAAGCTTGAATTGTACCAATATTCTGCTAACGGAAGGTGTGTAAACCACTGCCGAGGTTGGCCAGAAACAAAACAACGCAAGTAGGCCTCCAAACAGCGGTTGACGACCTCCGTTTGTCCATTCATCTGTGGGTGATACGCCGTACTCCTACACAAAGTGGTGCCCTGTAATCGGAAAAGTTCCTTCCAAAAGTGGCTCATAAAAACCTTGTCTCGATCGGAAATTATACTCTGCGGAAAACCATGAAGGCGCACTATGTCGCGGAAAAAAGAAGCAGCCACTGTGTTGGCCGAAAACGGGTGTTTGAGGCCAATGAAGTGACCATATTTGCTGAGACGGTCAACGACAACCAAGATTGAGTTATAGCCGGCGGATTTAGGTAAGCCCTCAATGAAATCCATGGAAATGTCGTCCCAAACACGATGGGGTATGGGCAGAGGCTGTAACAAACTCGCAGGTGACAAAGTTGACGGCTTATGTTGCTGGAAGACGACACAAGCAGCCACAAAAAACTCGACATCCTTGCGCATGCCTTTCCAATAGAACTCCCGAATGGCCGCCAATCTTACTACTATGAAACTCACGTAACAAGATTGGAATAAGAGGGGATTGTGGAGGAACGACCAACCGGCCTTTGTATAGTAAGTGCCCCCTTTGAAGAGAAAACCCCGTCAAAGAAGGAGTTCCAACCAATAACTCATCCACGATTTGGTTGAGCCTCGGATCCGCCTTAACCTGCCGCTGCAACTCCTCAATATCAAGCACCATTGGAGTGGTCATGACCATTAAAGCAAGCCCCATATACTGCCTCGAAAGGGCATCTGCCTCCTTATTTTTCGTACCCGGCTTGTATTGAATCACAAAATCATAACCAAGCAATTTACATAACCATCTCTGATGCTCCACACTTACCAAGCGCTGTTCCAATAGAAACTTCAAACTTTTCTGATCGGTGAGCACCACAAAACGTCTTCCCAACAAATAAGGTCACCACTTCTGAATGGCTAACACAATGGCCATTAATTCCCGCTCATAGACCGATTTGGCGCGAGCGCGCGCCGAAAGAACTTGGCTAAAATAAGCGATGGGGCGCTGCTGTTGCATCAAAACCGCTCCTATACCAAACCCCGAAGTGTTAGATTCTACCACAAAATGTTGAGAAAAATCTGGCAAGACCAGCACGGGAATCTCAGTCATAGCCCCTTTTAAGTGCTAAAAAGCATCCTCGGCTTCAGAATTCCATTGAAAGGCGTCCTTCTTAAATTGTTGCGTCAACGGCCACGAAATGCGTCCGTACCCTTCCACAAAACGGCGGTAATAACCTGAGGCCCAGGAATTCCTGTAATTCCTTGACGGACTGTGGAGTAGGCCAATCCAACATAGCTTGTACCTTGCTGGAATCCGCTGAAACACCATCCTTAGAGACAATATGCCCCAAGTATTCCAATTGCTCCTGTGCGAAGAGACATTTTTTTTTGATGACATACAATTGGTTGGCTTCCAAGACCGAAAGGACCCTGTTCATATGCTCCAAATGGTCCTCCCAAGATTGGCTGTAAATCAAAATATCGTCAAAGAAGACCAGTACAAAGCGACATAAGAACGACTTTAATACCTCATTCATCAAAGACTGAAATGTAGCCGGCGCATTTGTCAATCTGAAAGGCATAACGAGGAACTCATAGTGACCCTCGGGTGTGCGAAAAGCAGTCTTAGGGACATCCCCGTCACACATGCGAATTTGATGATACCTTGATTTCAAATCTAGTTTGGTGAAAATGGTGGCCCGCACAACTCGTCTAACAACTCCTCAATCACCGGAATTGGAAATTTATCCGGAATCGTGGCTTTGTTTAGCGCTCGATAATCCACACAGAATCTCCAACTGTCATCTTTCTTCTTGACAAGCAAAACTGGACCTGGAGAAAGGACTCGTATTCGGTTGTATAATTCTGGCCGCCAACATTTCTCTTACTAACTTCTCTATTTCATTTTTTTGAAAATGAGGGTACCGGTAAGGTCGGACACTAATCGGACCGGTGCCATCCTCAAGAATTATGCACTGGTCCTTCACTCTGTGAGGGGGTAAACCGGCTGGCATGTTAAGAACGGCAGCATGTTTCTACAACAATAACCGGAGCTGCTCATTGTCTTCCTCTACCTTGCCGAGGCCCTGCTCCACCCTCAAATGACTCAGCTCCAAGTAAATGTCCTGACCCTCATGACGAATTGTGCGCATCATGGCCTTGAGGGAAACCAATGATCTCGTAAGACTAGCATTCCCCTTCAACGTTACACTTTCCCCATGTACTTTAAATCTCATAACTTGAGTCTTCCAATTGACATTCATACTTCCTAAAGTCTCAAGCCATTGCATTCCTAGGATCACATCTATCCCTCCCAACTCCAAAGGCAAGAAATTCTCAATTATGGTCAAGTTTTGCATGGACAACACCACTTTAGATAATCCCTGCCCTTGTACAGACTCTCCCGTACTAGTTTGGACACCAAAACCAGTTGTAGGAGTTATGGGCAATGATAATTCCGAAACCAATGTAAGAGAAATAAAATTGTGTGTAGCGCCGGAGTCGATTAAGACAATTACCTCACAGTGACCAATCTCGCCCTTAATCTTCATGGTCTTTGGTGTAGTTAACCCCATTACGGAATTCAAGGACAACTTAATCACCTAAGTCCGTAGCAACTTCTCTGACTCCTCTGACTCCTCTTTTGTTTCCTCCAACTCAATTTCCTCATTTTCAAAGTCGTCCTCATCGCTAACTAACATAATCCGCAACTCCCTCTTTTTACAGCGATGCCCAACGGTAAACTTTTCATAACAACGAAAACATAGTTGCCTATTCCTCTTCTCGTGTAACTCCGAATCGGACAATTTTCGGAATGGAAAATCCTTCTTTGGCCTCTCGACACTAGAGCTGTCTTGAGGCTGGTTCGCTCTGGTTCCCATTGGCGGATTTGCTGTGAATCCCGCTGCTTGAGGACGCCAAACCCGAGACCTTCCCATCTCCTTCCGCAACAACACATTTTTCTCTTCAATTCGCTGTGCAATGTCCACGATTTCGGAGAGCCCTTTTGGCTTAAGTAAGCGCAATTCAGCCTGGATGTCAGCCCTCAATCCATTCACAAAAATGCCTTCAAGGATTTCCTCCGGCACTTCTTGTAAAGGGGCAGCCGATACCTCAAAATTCCGGCGATATTCAGCCACTATACTTGTTGAAAATAATTATTCAAAGTTAGGATTTAATTGTTACTCATTGTATTTAGGGGTGTTAGTGAGAGTAAAAGATAAGATCCTCCTTGATCTTCTCTTTGGTTTCTGTTTCCTGAATTTTAGGAATAGAACCGTGAGTCTCCTAGATATTTTCTTCTTCCACCATGTATATATGTGTACTAGTTCTCTGATCTAAATAAGAAAAATAGTTCTCACGTTTTTCTTCATGGTATCAGAGCCAATATTCTGAACCCTAATTCTCTCTACAGCCGCCATTCACCTTTCTCTTCTTTGCCACCTACGTTTCTGTTAGAACCATTTTTTCTCAACCCTCACTCATCATTGATTGTATGACTAAGTACGGGATGGCCTCTTCTCATACATCCAATACCTCGTCTGATACAACCTCTCGGTCTGGAGGGAATATGGAGATTGCAAATCATTATGGAACTGAGTCTTTGCCTGTCCTAATCACAAGCCATAAACTGAATGGCCACAATTATCTCCAGTGGTCACAATCAGTTATGATGTTTATTTGTGGAAAGGGCAAGGATGATTATCTCACAGGTGAGGCGGTTAT